AATATCAGCACCCATACAGCCTCTTTACCCTTTGTGTATTACTCCGCCCACATACAGCCAGCAAAAACAGACACTACAGATTTAAAGTTTAAAAGATGCTCGCTCAGCTGTTTAACTGTCAGCTTATGATTTAAATCCAAGGCGGAAGAAAATAGTTCCTCTTACAAAAGAGTTTTTGAGACTCTCCATGTTTGATTTTGTTTTTAAATACACAATTATGCCGTCAAACTGTTGTATAAACTCAATATCACACTCGTAGCAGTGCGATATGGCTGTATATGTATATATACATATATATATATATATATATATATATATATTGAGACTCAATCCAGAGCTGTGTGTACATTTCAAGCATTTCCATTCATTAATAAGACTGATATGTGCCAAATTTGAAATACACAGTAAACTGAATCCATTATTAATGTTAAATAACGCTTAAATGTGATAGGAGACATTTGATTACGTTACTACTGTAACTGTTGTTGTAATATAATATATTTTTTGCTGTGGTTATTTTTTTATTGACTTATTATATTACTATTATATTTTTGAGTGCATCTAAGAAGTGAATCCTCCAGAGAAAGAGTGAAAGCTGAATACAGACCATTAGCAGCGGATCTGCATGTGATAAGACTCGCATGTTTCTCCAGCTGCTCTGGGAAAAACCCACTGATTCAGCTCCTGCTTTACACACATCTGATCAAGCTGCAGGGCTGTGTGTGTGTGTGTGTGTGTGTGTGTGTGTGTGTGTGTCTGTGTGTGTTTAGAATGTCCGTGCAGCTATATAAACCTTTTTCATATAACACAAATTTGCCCATTGCCAGGCCTGGTGAACAGAGTGGCTCTTTTTCTCTTCTTTTTCTTTTTTTTTTAGGCTTTTTGTTTATTTATTCCTCTAATTTTGTATTTAATTATAAGGTTTAAATTCCATATTTCTGGCATTTTAAACACAAACTTTTACTGGATTTGCAGGTCAGCTGGTGTGATAATTTGCATGCTATCATTTATATTTAGAAATAAATATAACATTAGTCTGTATATGTCGGCCACTTTATTAGGTACACCTTACTGGTACTGGGTTGGACCCACTTTTGCCTTTAGAACTACTTTAATTCTTCATGGCAGAGATTCAACAAGGTACTGAAAATATTCCTCAACGATTTTGCTCCATATTGACAAGATATCATCACGCAGTTGCTGCAAATTTGTCGGCTGCACATCCCAATGCCAATCTCCCGTTCCACCATATCCCAAAGGTGCTCTATTTGATTGAGATCTGGTGACTGTGGAGGCCATTTGAGTACAGTGAACTCATTGTCATGTTCAAGAAACCAGTCTGAGATGATTCACGCTTTATGACATGGTGTGTTATCCTGCTGGAAGTAGGCTGAACTGTTGATATCAGGCAGGATGGATTTATACTTTCATGTTGTTGATGCCAAATTCAGACCCGACCATCCAAATATCGCAGCAGAAATCAAGACTCATCTGACCAGGCAACGTTTCTCCAATCTTCTATTGTCCACTGCCGCTTACTGGATATTTCCTTTTTTCAAAGCATTCTCTGTAAACCCTAGAGATGGTTGTGCATGAACATCCCAGTAGATCAGCAGTTTCTGAAATACTCAGACCAGCCCGTCTGACACAAACAACCATGTCACGTTCAAAGTCTCTTAAATCCCCTTTCTTTCCCATTCTGATGCTCACTTTGAACTGCAGCAGATCGTCTTGACCATGTCTACATGCCTAAATGCATTGAGTTGCTGCCATGTGATTGGCTGATTAGAAATTTGTGTTAAAGAGTAATTGGACAGGTGTACCTAATAAAGTGGCCGGTGACTGCAAATGACGACTATGCAGACTAATGCATGGACAAGATTGCATGGATTTTGCTCAAAATAATAATTTGAGTAAACAAAACAATTATTTTTTAGAAACACCAATTTCTAAGTTTCTATTGTAGCTAATAAAACACATAATTCAAATAAAACAATCATTAAGTTATGATTCCTAATTGGATAAGTGAGGTCCGATTTATAGTTTAAACAATTAAGTATAGTATCCAGTAGAGCACAATTTAGACACAAAAATGATTCTGTGCTGCACTAAGAAGCAAATGAATGGATGCAAATCCCTTTTTAAAATGATCATCTTTTCAATACTGTTGCTTTGTCTTTCTAATATTTTTTAATACCATTCATTCATTCATTTTATTCCGGCGTAGTCTCTTTATTCATCAGGGGTTAGCCACAGCAGAATGAACTGCCAACTATTCCAGAATATGTTTTATACAGCAGATTTAGTTAATCAATTCCCCTATATGCGCATGTGTTTGGATTGTGAGGGAAACCGGAGCACCCGGAGGAAACCCACGCCGACACGGGGAGAACATGCAAACTCCACACAGAAATGACAACTAAAATGACCTGCACTGTGGAGAGCATCCTGTCTGGCTGAATCACCACCTGGTATGGAAATAGCACCAGCAGCAATTGCAAAGGCTTACATAGGATTGTGCGAACTGCTGGACGTGTAGTAGGAGGTGAGCTTCCCTCCCTCCAGGACATCTACACCAGGCGGTGCAAAAGGAAAGCCAAGAGAATTATCAGCAACTCCAGCCACCCAAGCTATATACTATTCTCTCTGCTACCTTCAGGCAGACGGTTCTACAGCATCCGATCACGCACCAGCCGACTGAAGGAAAGCTTCTTCCCTCAGACTATCAGGCTGATGAACACTTAACACACTCCACACAGACTCTTCCATACCCTCACTGCACACCATCAATACGTAGCATGCACCGCACTTTAACCAATCCATACTTGAAACAATACTGCCTACAGCTATGTGGAAACCTATTCATTGTACATATCACTGTCAATTTTACATTATCCTGTTTTTTTTGGACTATGCTGTTGGATTTTGCACTGTCATTTTATTTGCACTGTCTGTATTTTGTCGTTCAGAGGTCGCGTTAGACTTTCTCATTGTCCGTCATTTTGACGGAGAGGGTTGTAAAAATTCCATCATAACGTATTATTGACCATCATTTAATTAGCATATATTCTAATTGCTTTTGTTCATTCAAATTTCAATAATGAACTTGCACGACGAGCATATAGGCAAAATCATTCATTTATTTGACAAACGAACAAAAACTCCTATCTGCCTTAACTCATCTTCCTCCTGCGTCAACCTGAACTGGGTGCTTGCCTGTGCGTAACCAAGCGCATCAAGGGAGACTGATGCAGAGGCAGTTGTCATTAAATTCTGTGTCTTTGCCTCGGAAAGTCGACTTTTCCTTGATAGTTTCATTTTGTTCTGGAGGCTGAAGCCGCGTTCTGCTGCCACACTGGAGACCGGAATTACTAGAGCCACTTTAGCTAGTGAAGAGCGGGAGAGGTAGGTGTGGTGCGCGCAAACTGAAAGACGCAAAGCAGGTATGGAGACGGTTGCGCGTTGTGTTCGGTGCGCAAGGGGACTGTACCAAAAAGCTGAGGAGCGGGGGGAGGTGCTGGAATTCCGGGAGTTTTCCAGGACATAGAACGATATGGGAGATGGGTCAGATTTGACCCATCAGGAGTGTTGGCAGATTTGTCTGTTTTTGCAACTACACAGCGGTGACAAGAGGAGACAAACGAAGGACAATCGCCATCAGCTGGACAGGAGTGGGAATTACAGTCAGCAACAAATTACAATAGTTCCCTCTCAGCATAATCTGTCAAAATGACGGATCACCTTCAGATGAAAAAAATCCGTCAATGATGGAAAATATTCAGTTAACGCGACCTCTGCTGTTGTTGTATTTGCATCTGTATTTTGCATTGTCTGGAGCCAGCACCAAAGCTTTTCACTTCTCATTGCACAAGTGCTGCTGCTGATGTGACAATTAAAGTGATTTGATTTTGATTTGACCCAGCCGGGCCTCCAACCAGCCACCTTCTTTGCCATGAGGCGACAGTAGCCCCTTTCACACAGTGATACCGGTAAATATCCGGAAAATTTCCGGAACGACTTTACCGGTATATTGAAAAAAGCGCTGTTCACACAGGCGAGGACGTTACGGAAATTTTCCGGAAAAGAGCATTCACACATCCATTCCAAAATACCGGTAAATTCTGACATCATTCACCACAAATGAGCTTTAAACGGCTGCGCTTGTGTTTGTAAACATTTGACTAAATTACAAACTCTGTGGATGATCAATATTGTGAACAACTTTCGCAGGATCACTTTCGCATGTCGAGATTCTCATAATATGTGCGTGTGCAGGCGCTCATAGGCGCACGCAAAGCTTGAAGGTAAACAAACAACGGCTTATCATAAGCATTTCATCGATGATTATTTACACAGTTGGCATTAAGAAGAACATATAAACGTGATCTGACTAACTTCTAGCAGCTAAATGTGTCTGGAAAAATATTCAAAGGCTTTTATTCTCACAAACCGCGCGGACGTAAATGCGTCTGACTGTTGTGATTGGCTAAAGCAGACGTCTCACGTCAGCACGTTCTAGACAAGCACGCGCTTATTATGGGAATCTTCCTTCTGCATTCACACAGCGCAGCATTCCGGCAAATTGCCGGTAATCTTACAACTTCTCTTTCCGGAAAATAGCCTGAACGAATTTACCGGTATATTCAATAAGGACCTGTTCACACATACAACCTTTCCGGAAAATTGCCGGCAATTTTCCGGAAAGGTCTGTATGTGTGAAAGGGGCTAGTGTTAACCACTGAGCCACCATGCCACCTATTTTTAATACTAATACTTTGTCTATTATTCACTTTCACTTTTTTACTGTATAGTGTTGGCCGTTTTTGCATCAGTGATTAGGCAGCAAATACTGAAAAAGTCAAACAATTTATTAAAAGAAGTGCTAAATAGCATGAATCATAATTCATGAATAATGATCATGCCCTTATACACTTTAACACTCATAATCAGCATCCTACACTCTCCGCTCTATGCAGAAGTGAAGAAATAAGTGTGTATACCTGGATTTGAAGGTTTTCTTCTGGATCTGTCTAGACGTCTCCATGCTGCTGGTCATCTTTCCCGTCTGCTCCTCCACACAGCGCTGGGTCACACTTCTGCTCTTCATGCTCTCAGATAAACACACACACTGCTGTCAGAAGAACAGGAGATCTGTCACACACACAACATTACTATCAGAAGAACAAGTGTTTGATCTTTATTGCACACATGCTTATCAGCATAGTCTGTGTGACAACTGACCAAAAAAATTAACAGCAAATTTATTTTTATATTTGTATATATATATATATATATATATATATATATATATATTAGGGATGCACGTATATATATTCAGGGGTGGCCAACCCTGTTCCTGGAGAGCCACCTTCCTGCAGATTTTAGTTGCAACCCCTTCAATCAAGCTGAGCCCACCTCATTCAAGAGATCTCGGAGCGATTGTTTTGGCGCGGATCCGAGCTCGATTGCTGGATTCACACAAACATATACATATATATATATATATA